TGGCTGGTACACAGGGCTGCATCGGGTGGGGGGGGGGTCATGGCTGGTACACAGTGCAGCATCGTGTGTGTGGGGGGGAGGTCATGGCTGGTACACAGGGCTGCATGGTGTCTGTGAGGGGCACAGGGACACGGAATGAATGACAGTACATTAAAGGGACTCTTTCACTTTGCAGCCTTTACTGGTACATCTCTCTCTACAGCTCATTGTTTTAATTTTGTGATTTTCACATTGGTTTGTTAATTATACATTAGATAAATTAGGGACTACTTCTTCTCATGGGGAGCGCCATGTTTGGATGTTTGCGTCAATGGGGGTTTAATCAAGTTTAATCAAAATTCAATTTCAGTTGGTAAGCTAATTTACACACAATCTATCATTCAAAAGAATACACAGATACTAAACTGTAGATTTCATGGACAGGGGGAAACAGAATGGCCGCAACAAGGCATAAAGATAATAAATATAAATTGTTTTTATAGATATAAATAAAAGCAAGTGGAAAGGAGGGGAGTGTAATTGTTATAATACAAGGTGCATAAAGAAAAATAGGTCAAAACTTTAAGAAGAGAGAAAAATGTTGATACAAGCTGCTTAGTTCAAAAAGGGAGTTCTTTAGTAAACACCATGCTAAACTGAAAAAAGTTTACAAAAATAAATAAAAATCCAGGGCTTTTTAAAAGTTTAAAGAACGGATGCAATTTCAGGAGTGGGTGTATAAGAAAGAGAAATATATATGTGAGAGGGGGTGGTCATGGCATATATATAGGCAGACTTGACAAAGTCACTGTGGCGACTAGGAAGTTTGCCCTGGAAATTTTTTTTTATTTTTTTTTTTAAATCATTCAAAGTTTATTAGCTTCATTGGTATGTACATCAGAAAGGCATATATGTGCGTCAAAGATAATGTAGCAAGATAACATCGTAGTATAACATCGTACTTAACAGGCATAGTGGTGAAAGGCAGGTAAATAATAGGTAGCTCTACGGTAACATGGTAGGTTGGCTGGTCGATGGTAGCACAAAGCAAAACATTCTCCTATTTGAACATGTCAATATAACTCTGAACTTTGCAATGTCTGTCAAACACCAACAGCTTAAATCGGCCTCAGCAAGCACAGCCTCTAGGTTTAGTGATACAATATTAAAATAAAAACAATATTAAAATTAAAGTTAACAATTAAATGAAAAGATAAATGTCCAGACTCTCCGTGGAGTCAGGAATAGGGTGGAGGGATTACGTGGAGGCCCTCGCGTGAGCTGCGGAGTATATTTGTCTCCGTGCTCCCTTGTGTCTGATTTGGTGCATGTATCTCCGGGCATTTTATCTTGCCAAAGTAAAAGTGGGGTAGGTTGAACAAGGCTGATGCTTGATTGTTATGTATAGTCGACTTACGCCTCAGTGTGCACCTCAATTGCTGGGAACTAGGTAACAGAGCAAGAATCTATACGTATTTGTAAGAAAGTAATCTACATTGGATATAAACTTTACTGTACTGCGTAATCAAGCTATGTCTATATAAGCCTGTGATTATGCTGTCGGCACAGTGAAACTTATGTGTTAGAAAAAAGAAGGGGAAAAAAATAAACCCCTGCAAGTATAGCGCTTTGTCCCCTGTGGGCTGCGCCTGGACAATTAGTGATGCTATTGGTCTATAGCGTATGGTGTAAATATGCTTGCTACATGCAATATAGGTGAAAGTTTTTACACATTATGAAGCTGTAGCTCAGGGGAGCTCTGTAGCTTACGTTGTGCGTTCGTTTTAAAACTGTAAGCTTAATGAATGTGTTTTGTGCTAAATAATAAAATAAAATGGATTAAGCGTGTTTGGTAGGCGATATTGGCTTATAATAATAGGATAGTACAATTGGGCTTAAATACGGAAAGCCTATTTCTGCATGAAGAGCCTATCTAGCATTTCAGGCCTACCCAGCCTAGGCCAACGTCCCA